CCCCCCCCGCAAAAAAAAAGATGTTTACTTTGCATAAATAAGAACCTCCAACCCCTGTTATTGTTACTGCTTCTGTAAGATAAGAGGCAAGTGAGTTTTCCTTTTTCACTTTTATCAAAGACTATTTTCAATCCTAGATGAGGGATGGTAATCAAGGAATAAGGAAATTAGCCATATTCTAATTAAGATGCACATTGGGCTGGGGATTTAGCTCAGTGGTTCTGGCGCCTGCCTTGAAAGCACAAGGTCCCAAGTTTGATCCCTAGTGCTAAAAAAAAAAAAAAGGTGCACATAGTCCCCAAACATTATGTTATTTACTCTCAATATCTTGAGGTGCAAGGGCAGGAGAATGGATTTGTCTAGACTTAGGTTCAACTCCCAGAGTTCACCGAAAGCAATTTGGCCAGGGATTTAGCTCAGTGGTTCTACCACCTGCCTCGTAAGCACAAGGTCCGAGTTTGACCCCCAGTACCAAAAAAAAACACCTCATATAATCTTGAGCAAGCTCCTTATCCTTTTACGCCTCAGCTTCTTTAAAAAATGTTCACTCTTCTTCCATAGAAGAGTAAGCAAGATAACACAAATCTATATATGATCTCCATGGAGCGTTGCTTGTTTTTTTCTGAACTTCTTCCTTATTTAAAAAAAGGAAAAAATAGCCAGGTGCAGCGGCATGAGCTTGTAATCCCAGCTACTTGGGAAGCTAGGAGAATAAGACTGCAAGTTTGAGACCAGCCTAAGTGTCTTAGCAAGACCCTGTCTCAAAATTTAAAAAAATAAGAAGAGCTGGGGATACAGCTTGACACTCCCAGAGTTCATTACTGAGTACCACAAGCAAGCAGATGGATGGATGGATGGATGGGCCAGCCCAGAAACTGGTAAAAGCTGTGATCTTCATCCATTTCTTTCCATGGGTTACTGAACTTCCAAGTGATCTGACTTGTGATTTGATTGAATCTGAAAGGGTTTCTGAAATGTATTTGACTTTGAATTTTGTTTTTAGAACTTAAAGTTTCAGTAAATATGTGATGGTGAAATAGGAGGAAGGAAAGAAGAGAGTTAAAAGCGGCCCATCTGTGCCGGGGATTTAGCTCAGTGGTTCTGCCGCCTGCCTCGCAAACGTTAAGGTCCCAAGTTTGATCCCTGCTACCAAAAAAAACCAAAAAAACCAGCCCATCTGAGCCTTCACAGCATAGCCAGGAACCTGCGCTTTGGGCTGTTGTTCCCAAAAAAGTACTTCTGGTAAAGCTGTATTTTCTGATAGACTACTTTACTTAAGTACTTTAAATATGAACACCTGCATTATTAAGTCAACCCAACACAGACCTAGCTCATAGGCATATTGCTTTCAATAAGGTATAATTATCCTTCTGATTTTTACCTTTCAGGAATTAGCAAATCAGTCATCAAAACAATGTCCATCATGGATTTTGAAAAGGTTAATCTTGAGTTAATAGAAGCCTTATTGGAGTGGATCGTGGACGGCAAGCACTCCTACCCTCCAGGTAACTGCTTCTTGGTTCGGGCCTACTGATCCACATATTAAACACTCAGACCTTTGTCTGAGGAGCAGCAGCTGAAAACTTTTTCCCACATTGTGGGTTGTCTCTTCACACTGTTGGTGATTTCTCTTGCTATGCAGAAGCTTTCTTTTTTTTTTTTTTGGCATTGCGGTGCTTGCTTATTTGTGGACTTCAG